ATAATGGATATCCTTTTGTAATGACTATCTCTGACACCATATAATCAAAGAGTTATCTGATGTGTAAAAAGAGTGTAATATTTGCTACCATTGCTTAATGATGTGTAAAACTATTGCTTTGTTTCTATTGAATCGACAATTGATTGAATCAACACTTCAAAAGTGTTATCCGTTTTATTGCGACAAACAATTTGTGTCTTTTCTATATTTCATTCATAAAAACTTAGATTTGTATTCTTGTAATCTTCTAATTGTAATGACAATAATTAACAAAACTCTAAATATATTACATTTAAAATATTGATTAAAATTTTACAAATACATCCTTTAATAATTAAAATATAAGACATATTTAACGTTGCTATACTGTATAATCCTTTCCTAAACTACAGGGTGTTCAACCATTGGCGCGGGTTTTAATTTTTTTATTACTCAAAAACTACAAAAGATATTTTAATCAAATCAATTGCAAATTAAAGATAAATGTTTGGCATTTAATTAAAAATATTTTCAAAATGGCCGCCATTTTCCGTTATCACGTGATCGAGTCGGGAGCAAAAAACCTATCGATCGCTGCTCTAGTCATCTTTATTGAAATGGCTTAAATCACATCTTCGATCGATTGTTTGAGTTCAGGTATGGTCTGGGGGTCTCTCGCATACACTAGAGATTTCAAATAACCACATAGCCAGTAGTTCCCGAACCCGATCGGTGTTTTCGGGTGTGACCAATATAGGCGTCCGTTCACTATAATGCTGCTTATCGTCAAGCAGAGAACCAGTGCGTTTAAACTTTGTNTACCAAATTGTGAACAAGTGATTGATATGACATCACTTATGGTAGATATCATTCGGGGTTCAATACTTTATCATCAGTTATATTGTGTCCCAATCTATGGTTACAATTCTGACCCCAACTGAAAACACGTCCGTCGGATGTGATGGCAAATGAAGAGTCATTATAACAATAAACTGATTGTATTTTATAATTGTCAATGAATTGAATCTCAAGGGGTATAGAAATGAATTGACGTGTAATATGACCACCAATTTGTGCCGAGTAATTGTTACCCCAGGCATATACCCGGCCATCACAAGTAAGGGCGAGTGAGTGCGAGTAATCACAACTTATTTGAACAATTTGTTTATCATTAAAATATGAGATTAGCTCTGGTTTTAAATAATCAGTACTGTTATGACCCTGGGACAATTGTCCATAACCCCGATCACCCCAAATGAATAGATTGTAATCATTATTCACGGCTAACATAAAATTATATCCATTGATAAAGTATTGGATGTTTTGATGACATAATTCTTGTATTATTTGTGGCGATAGTATAGGACTGTTGTGTCCAAAACCCAGACATCCGTTGCTATTCTGACCAAAACCATAGACAATACCAAAGTTTGTGACAAATAATACATTGGGTTTATTAATACACCGTAGCAAGAGCATTACCAACATAGCTACCAGTCATGGGTGGTGCTACCCCCATAACAAACAAAAATAAGCCAATCATTGCAAAAACACGCGTTTTTTATGGGGGTAACCACACGCATAACTGGTTGCTATGTTGGTAATGCGATTGCCAGGCTGTACAATCANTCATGGGTGGTGCTACCCCCATAACAAACAAAAATAAGCCAATCATTGCAAAAACACGCGTTTTTTATGGGGGTAACCACACGCATAACTGGTTGCTATGTTGGTAATGCGATTGCCAGGCTGTACAATCATTAAAAACATATAATTTTGTGATCTTTTTTTAATATTTAGAGGAATATTATCACAAATGGGAAACTTCTTTAATAATTCACACATTTTTATGCACTAAACACACAAAACATTATTATTTATAATTATAATAATATAACTAATTTATTTAAATAATTAAAATGTGCATTCAATAAATAAATATTAATTTTGTTGTTGAAAATATTCACACTTTTATTTAAAAAATATACGACTATTTGTGCCGTCAATAATACACCTTATCCTCGATTTAGGGAGACTCGATATAAGGCTAATTCGATTTAAGAGAGGGGTTTTTGCTGCACCGACCGCTCCTATGAGAGATTTACATTATGGCACTCGATATAAGGAAAATTTGATTTAAGCAAAACTCGATATAAGAGACATATTTTACTGCACGCACAGCACTGCTGTACTCGATATAAGCAAATTTTATTTCAAACATTATAAATGAAAACGAGTTTTGTATAAAAGTGTTGATTAGAAAAACAGTAAATGAAAACACGTGTTGTATTAAAGTGTTGATTATTTTTATAAAAACACATTTTGCCTTAAAAATGGCTGACAAATAGTCTCGAAATAGTGTTACATTAGAGACTAAATATAAAGTGATTAAATTAGTCGACAAAAAGTGTCCAAATCAAGGGAAAATTAAACAATTTAGTGCTGAAAGACTCATGATATCAAACATTTACATGTTTTATGCCCAAAGAGATGCCATTATTAAAAATTTTGAGACATCAAAGTCATCAGATGTATACAATTTTTAAGAAATTTAAGTCAAACACTAATGGCTTTGGTATGAGTTTTGAATTAATTAATCAATTTGAGGATGAAATCAACAATAGTAGACAAAAGTGTTTAACACAGACAAAAATTATTGATTATATGAATTAAATATTACTTCATCTAATAAAACACGAATTTAAACCTATATTTGATGTTTTTAGGTAAATTTATATGAGACTCGATATAAGGAGAATTCGATTTAAGAGACACATTTCTGTTTCACCAATCATTTCTTTAAATCGAGGATAAGGTGTATGTTGAAAATAGACTTTTATAGCATTTCCTGCAATTAATTATCATAACCGAGAATTTGAGACAAAACTTCTGCTCTGTATAGAAATGTGTAGAAAGATGTGCTCATAATATGTGCCTCATATCGATGTACTGAACACTATATTGTATGAAACAATTCTGTCCTAAATTAGTGATCAATATAAGCAATGAACAAATAAACAATTTTAATATATTCACATCAACTATTAGAATTATAGAAAATTGACCAATCTAGTTATTTACAATTTACACAGTACAGTGTCTTCGGCCATGGACGCGGGTTTTGATTTTTTTATTATTCGAAAACTACAAAAGATATTATAATCAAATCAATTGTAAATTAAAGATAAATGTTTGGCATTTTATTTATTATTGTTAAATAAGTGCCATCACAGCAAACACATGGTTACCGCACGCACTCAATATTCGGTTGAATAAAAAGTCGAAATTGTTTGCCTATGGTATCAAAATGCCGAAAGTCCGGTGGCTACTGTTAAAGCTTATTAGACCCAAGTTGACTAACATTCAACAATTACTCAAAAATTAATAACAAAATAAATTTTTTAATTTTTCAATTTTTTCAAAATTTTGTTTTTTGTCTTACTTGAGATTTTAATCAAATTTTTGCAAACTTATGACAAAGTTTAAACGCACTGGTTCTCTGCTTGACGATAAGCAGCATTATAGTGAACGGACGCCTATATTGGTCACACCCGAAAACACCGATCGGGTTCGGGAACTACTGGCTATGTGGTTATTTGAAATCTCTAGTGTATGCGAGAGACCCCCAGACCATACCTGAACTCAAACAATCGATCGAAGATGTGATTTAAGCCATTTCAATAAAGATGACTAGAGCAGCGATCGATAGGTTTTTTGCTCCCGACTCGATCACGTGATAACGGAAAATGGCGGCCATTTTGAAAATATTTTTAATTAAATGCCAAACATTTATCTTTAATTTGCAATTGATTTGATTAAAATATCTTTTGTAGTTTTTGAGTAATAAAAAAATTAAAACCCGCGCCAATGGTTGAACACCCTGTAGTTTAGGAAAGGATTATACAGTATAGCAACGTTAAATATGTCTTATATTTTAATTATTAAAGGATGTATTTGTAAAATTTTAATCAATATTTTAAATGTAATATATTTAGAGTTTTGTTAATTATTGTCATTACAATTAGAAGATTACAAGAATACAAATCTAAGTTTTTATGAATGAAATATAGAAAAGACACAAATTGTTTGTCGCAATAAAACGGATAACACTTTTGAAGTGTTGATTCAATCAATTGTCGATTCAATAGAAACAAAGCAATAGTTTTACACATCATTAAGCAATGGTAGCAAATATTACACTCTTTTTACACATCAGATAACTCTTTGATTATATGGTGTCAGAGATAGTTATTACAAAAGGATATCCATTATTTTACTGCAGTGTTTGAAGATTTGAAACAAAAACAAGGTGACACAACAATGCTATACGTTAACCACAATTCGAGTGATGCTAAAAAATAGACTAGCATTATCAGATTCAAGTTTAGTCCATAGCATTGCATTAAACTCGGCATTGCCATTAACATAGCATCGTCCATAGGGAGGGGGTAGCCGAACAATTCTATAAACCACATTATTCAAATCTGAATTGTGGTTAAAAACAATTACCTGAAGTTACTGTACATGAATTTGGGCTCATTTTATTAGAAAACTATAATTTTGCTCTCAATTGGAAATATTTTTTATAAACAAAGGAAACATTTGAGAACACAAAAAAAATTCTTGGTAATAGTAATGATAATCACCAAAATATCACCAGAATTTGTTATTACATAAACATTGTAGTAATTGTATAATTTTCAATAATTTTCCCACTTGTTAACTTGAAGTTTACTATGAATAAACATACTGTAATCAATTACCATGTATAATTTATCGTCTATCACTTATATGTTGTATGAGTGTAAAGTACGACAAACAAACTTGATAGAATTGTGGTGAATGTAATTACGGTAAACAGTTCATCGAATGCACGGATTATTTATTAATAATAATAATAAATGTTATCATAAATTACAGAAAATAACAATATTTTCAAATCAAAAAAAAAAAAAAAGTTTTGAAATCAAAACCATTATTTATCCAAACATTTGATAATAAAAAACATATTTAAAGAAAAAAATCTCAAGTAATAATATAATACAAATGGATATCATTAAAAAAACACTTTATTTAACAGATAATTAGGTATTTAGTCGTCGCTATCACTTCCAGACTCACTCAACCGAAGATCTTCGCCTGTAATCAAAGAGAGAGAAACAATGAATTAAAAAATAGTAGACGAGTTGACATGTTTTGCACAAATGAGTGCCTTTTGAAACACAACTCTATAGTAAAAATAAAGTCTAAAATACTTGACAATACAATACATACTTAATTGACTGAATTTAGGCATCGATGGCAACACTGGTTGTGTGTTTCCATTGACTCCAATCCCGTTGTGTTTGGAAGTATTGGAAGCATGTGTTGAGTCGTCTGAATCATCACTAGAAGATTGGTCTGACTTTACGGTGGCTTTAGGTTTGTTACCATTGGTGTTAGGTTTCGAATTAGTGTTGTTTGTTGTAGTTTTGGCTGTAGTATTGGTTGTATTAGTAGAATGTGTTGGTTTGCGGTCCTCCTCTTCATCATCACTACTCGATTCGCTACTGCTATCACTAGAACTCGAAGACGACTCGTGATCACTGGAATCACTCGAGTCGGACAGACCTAACTCTTCATTAATATCACGTTTATTAATATTGTGAGCAAAACCCGAATTCGGGACATTCAGGACAGTATTACCCGAAAGTTTGTTAGGCGTAGGCTTGTTATTAGGCGGAGCCGGTTGTTGTCCATTAGTGGTCATTGAATGGAGTGTATCCAATGTGGGCATTGAGGGACTGATGGGCTGATTACTCGATGGGCTCTTGCGCTGGGATTGACTGTGTGTTTGTCCGTTAGGATTGGCCTTATTTGGAGACGATTTTTGCTTATTGTTTGCATTATTTGGCGAATTTTGGCGATTTGTAGTCAACGGAGAGTTTGGCTTTTGCTGCGAATGAGGCAATTGTGGCACTAATTTCTTGCTATCGTTGGGCGTATTTGGCCTAACAGTCAATTGCTTGTGTGCTTTCGTCGGGTTTTGTTGCCGCGTTCTCTTCACTGTAATGTTTTGGTGTAACTTTTCTAACGTTATTTCTCCTGTTTTGTGATCTATTATTAAAACACACTCTTTTTGGTGCGCTTTTCGCGACCCTTTGAACACCGTTTCGCTCGTTCCCGAGCCCTCAGTGTTGGGTGCGGTGACCGTCACTTTGTGGTTGCCCTCCACGTCCATCACCGCCGCCTTCTCTCTGTCCACCGAAGCCGGCTTGAAGTCATCTGACAGACAATCAACAAATACATTACAATTACTAAATGCAATAACTTCAATTATACAATTAACTTGTTAAACCTAACTTAACCAAACTAACTCATATTGTCTTAGTTAATAATATAATCTGTAATATTTACTAATTTAATGTATTTAAAGCAAATTAAACGAAAAATTTTCGAGCAAATGTTTTTCGATCAAATGTCTGCTTCCCCAATAAACTAATGTTCAATACAACAAAACTTGGACAAACTAATCATACAAAATTGAATTTCTAATAAATAGCGCATGATTAATCTCCATAAATGTATACACAGTATATTTATAGATTATTAATGATCAAAAATACCAAAATACAAAACTTTTAAATAGTTAGTTAATAAATCTAATTTAATAATAGACAGTACTTTTACAAATGAAATTATGATATAATTTATGATATGAATTGTAAACCAAGAGTTGGTTGAATAGAGTAATAAATAAGAAAACAATTTTTAATACACTTTGCAATTAATTTCAATGACAATTAAAATGAATTCATGAATCTGTGTCTGAATTGAATGCATAAGAATGTCGACTCATTAAAGAGTAAATGAATTGACAATTATTTGTCATATTATCTCATCTCATAATCTTAATCGTGAAACAAGTTTTTTATATAAGAAAAGCTAAAAATATT